TAAATCCCCATTAGAAGAAGTGAAAAATAAACAGTAGGAATAAACCCAAATAAATACAGGATATTATAAAGTTAAGACAGAAATAAAGGAAGTAGAAATAGATTTATGCAGACAAGGTCTTGATATGAGAGACTATCATGACAGATCAGTAAGTAGAAAAAAATTAACATTAGATTCATGTCTCACATCATAAACAGAAATTTTAGCTCTATTAAAATGGACCTAGATTTAAAGAATACAAACTTTTAGTAGAAAATACAGGGAATATATTTTTGACTCTCAGGTGAAAAAAGATTGCTTAATCAGGACACAAAAGCTTGCTATTTTATGCTAACCATAAAATGCTTAAATATAAATTTGACTATTTAAAAATGAAAATCATAAAATTTAAAAAGTCATAACTAGGAGAATATACTATAAACACTACTGTTAAAAAAAAACCCATCAAGAATATATAAAGAGCCCAATAGATCAATAATATAAAGACAGTAGAAAAATGGGAACAGACATGAATGGGCATTTCGAAAACGAAATTTATACAAACGTGTGAAGAAATGCTCAACCTCTTTAATAATAAGGGAAATTAAAATCAAGACCATAATGAGATATTTACATTCATCTGCTGGAGAAAACTTATGAAGTCTGACAATACCAAGGGTCTATCTTTCATACATTTCTGGCAGGGTTATTCATAGTTCCACTTTGGAAAACAATTTGGCGTTGTCCCATAGAGCTGCATATTCCCCCATCTCATGATCCAGCAACTCTAGTCCCAGGCATATACTCTGGGGAAACAGTTGAACATATGATCCAAGAAAAGTCCCAACACACTTTTGACAACACACTTCAAGTACGAAAAAAAAAAAAAAAAGCCCAAATGCCCATTAGCAGAGGAAAGGATAAACTGTTGTCTATTTATATAGTGGAATACAATATAATATAGCAGTGAAACTGAATAAACTTCAGCTGCATCTGTTAAGCCTTGACCAGCCTTTGATGGTGCTGAAGGTACAAGGGGACCATGAGCCAAGGAATGTGGGCAGTTTCTAGAAGCTGAAAAAGGCAAGGAAATGAATTTTCCCCTAGAGCCTCCAGAAAGGAATGCAGCCCTGTGACACCTTGATTTTAGCCCAGTGAGACCCATTTGAGCCTTCTGACCTCCAGAACTATAAGGTAATAAATTTGTGTTGTTTTAAGCCACAAGGTTTGTGGTAAGTTGTTACAGCAGCAACAGGAAACTAATACAGTGTGTGTGTCTGAGGCTGGAAGGGGTGTCACAGGATAGAGGAGACTTCTCAGGGATGGAAGCAGGGAAGGGAACCTTTGCTTTGCTCACAGAGATCTGGCTCTTGGGCCGGGAGCCAGCCTCCCCTGCAGGGTTCCCTTCAGTGTCCCCCTAGCATCATCCAAATATCTGCAGGGGCCTGACAGTCTGCAAGACCTTGGAACACTTGCTCCCAAAGATCCCCTGACAGGAGGACAGGCCCCAGGTCAATAGGTTCTCAGTGTACAAAAGAGGAAATAGAGGCTTGGAACAGGGTGGTATGGTCAGGAGCAGGCCCCCCGAGTGAGAGCAGGAAATGGCCAGGTGCCACACCTGGGAACTCACGCTTCCCGGGAGGGCAGCCTGCTCCTTCCACAGACCCCCCACAGCCAAACAGGCCCTGGTGGGCTCCTGTCCACATCTGTGCTGAGAAGGCGGTCCCACAATTGCCAGTGTCATCATAATTGCCATCCTCCACACCCTCCCAGTCCCTTCTCCCTGGAGACAGGACTACAAGCCAAAGCCAGGGCCCACCTGACCACAATCCAGGCCCAGCCAGACACGGAGGCAGAACCCCTGGGTTCCACGGTATCTGGGGAGCAGTGTCACAATGGGGCACAGAAGGGCTCGGGGTGGGGTAGGAGCAGCATTCTACTCCAGGGGTGCAGGCCAGACTAGGGATAGAACAGGACAAGGCAGGCTGGGGAAATCCCCATGTGAGCCAGCCCCAGGCCTTCTGCACTGTTCCCAGCACCTGGAGCACTGGCCCTCCCCACAAGGCCCCAGCTCCACTGAGGGGAACTCTCCCATCCTTCCAGACACAACTGTCGTCCCCAGTCCCCACGTCTAAGGTGGGGGACAAGGCTTGAGAGGAGGAACAGGCCCTGCCTTCAGCTGCTCCCAGACCTCTTCCCGGAGGAGGAAGGAGTGGAGGTTAAAGATTCTGTGATGGCAAGCTTGGGGAGCTGCCAGATGATAGCTTCTCCTTTGAGAGGAGGAGGAGCAGCTATCTGGTAGGAGGTGGGAAAAGGGAGGTGGGCAGAGTGGAGGTTAGAAATAGCCACCACTGAGAGTTGGAACAAGCTGACTAGAAAAAGCTGATAGGAAAACAAGGTGCTGTTAAAGCCCCAGTTGATGCTGGTGACCATGGCTTCTTGGAAGACTTGCCAGCAGTGTGACTCTCTGGCAGTGACCAGCTGTCAGGGCGCAGGAAGAGAGAAGGCAGACAAAGGGGCTTGTCTGCTGCTATGGTTTTGGTAGCTGGACACAACCAAAGGGTAAATGGGTTCAAGTGTAGGGTGTTGGCAATCCAGAGAAATGATCTCTCTCAATAGCTTAAATGATGGTTTATTCCCTCTAATCTGAGCACAGAGGACAGAGGTGGGGAGAAAGGAACGAGTCAACAGACCACAGGGCCTGAGGAGGCTAAGGATGGGGTTGCGGAGGGACGTTTGTGTCCCCTCACATCTACATGCTGAAGTCCTGCCCCACAGTGGATGCTATTTGGAGATGGGCCCTTAAGAGGTAATGCAGGTTAGATTAGGTCATGAGGGTGATCCTCTCCTGATGGGGTTAGAGGAAAGGAGAGAGACAGATCTTTCTTCAACAGACGTGTGCTGAGAACAAGCCGTGTGACGACATGGCAAGAAGGTGGCCTGCAGGCCAGGAGGAGAGCTCTCGCCAGAACCTGAGCCTGCTGACACCCTGATCTTCCAGCCTCCAGAACTGTGAGAAATATATTTCTGTTTTTAAGCCAGCCAGTCTATGGGACTTTGTTATTGCAGCCTGGACAGACTGAGGCAGGTGGGAAGGATGTAGCAAACAAGCCAAAGGATGGGATGCTGTGCTCAGAGAATGGCATGCTTGATTAGAGACTCCTTCATTTATTCACTTACAGGCCAGGCATTTTTGAGATTTTGGAAGTGGGGACGAATTTTCCCAAGATGACGGCAGGAGCTGGAGTGGGAGGGATGACCAGGAAGCTTTCTTTAGAAGAATGAGGCTGTGCGAGCTGGGGGTCAAGGGGTGGGAGCAAGGAAGGGACAGAGAGGTTTCTGTAAGAGCAGGTTTTACAAATAAGAAGAGCTGTAAAAATGGCTGAGCAGCAGCAATGGAGGGCAAAGAGGCGCTTACCCCCCGCTCCCTGGCTGTGAGAATGCATGACCAGATGAAGAGGCAGGAGATGGAGGAACCTTCTAAGAAGGTCTGAGGACACGGGCCTGTCTGCTGGATTTGGAGCAGCATTTCCAGACACAGGGGTTGAGACCATGGGTGGAAATGGGTGGGGTTGGGAGCAGGTTGGTGGGGCTGGGGTCACTGGGAATTGCATGGAAGGAGGGGACTGGCTGGACACTGATGGCATGAACCCAAGATGCACAGTAGAGCAGTCTTCATCTCAGAGGCTCTCTGAGGAGGGAGCACTGGGCCCGGTGGCCAGGGGGCTTCTCCTGGGCATAGCCAGAGGAAATCAAGAAGTGATGCTTTGCCCACTGCACAGGTTAGGGGAGTGACCATCAAAGGGTCTTTACCTCCCAGCTTGCTCTCAGATCCAGCCTCCCCCTAGTTCCACTGCCACCACCCCACTTTGTCACTGGGATGCTATGGGGATAAAATGAGGTATTCAATTGTAATGATGCCCTGCCTGATCTCTCTGCTTCTACATTTGCCCTCTGCCAACACATTCTTCAGGTAGAGGGGGATTTTTAAAATATAAATCGGGCCACTCTGTTGCTTAAAGAAAAAAGAAAGCCAGTGGCTTTCCCTGCCCTCAGAACCAAGTGTAGGTCCAGTTCCTCAAATTCCCAGAGATCCTTCCAGTTGTAGGCCTGCCCCTTGCTAGTCTTCACCACAAAGCACTTCTGTACCCCCTGCCTGTTTCCTGTCCCTCTGGCCTGCAGTCCTCTCCCTGCATGTCCATCTTCAGGTCAACTTCCAGGCCCCACCCACTGGGTCAGCAGCCTCCTTT